GCTGAGGCCGGGATAGAGTGAGCTGAGGCGGCGGGGTTGAGAACGGCGCGCCCGGTGGATGCGACGAATGAGCGGCAACCACATGTGACGACCCCGGGCTGGACTCTGCTTTGTCCACGGTGAAAGTTGATGTATTCCCTCAGCGACCAGCACAGATCAGCATTTGGGCGGTGTTATGCAAATCTTCCCACATAGTGATGCAGATATGTGGGGGCGTGTTAGAACGAGGTGTTTTAGGTAGGCGTGGTTGACTCTTAACTTTTATAAAGAATATCTCTTTGGATTTGAGACTTTAGTATTTGCAACTTTACAGATCTTCTTTATGCACCAAGAGCTTGTAACACTCCAAAGAGAAAGGAAAAATTTAAATTGCATCATATGACCCCTTTAAACAAGCTTCCGTTATTCAGTCAAACAGATAGTCCCACCCCCAAATTCACTTCATTGGTTAGCTGATGCCGTTAAAGTGATAGTTCACCCAAAAATGAAAATTTTGTCATCATTTTGTCATCAAAAAGTTGATGGTAGCCATTGACTTCCATAGTATTTTTTTCCCATACTATGGAAGTCAGTGGCTACTGTCAACTTGTTTGGTTACCAACATTTTTTTAAATATCTTTCTGCTCAACAGAAGAAAGAAACTCATACAGGTTTTGAACAACTTGATGGTGAGTAAATGATGACAGAATTTTCATTTTTGGGTGAACGATCCCTTTTAAGTCTGGCCCATTCTGAATGCAAAACAAACAAACTGCAATTCTGTTTTGTGCCACTAGGGGTGCAGAAATTACATGCTTCACCTTTAAATTTATCTTAACACTACATAAAAACATCAGCATTTGTATATGTAACGCAACCATTAAAACAGGTAACACAACACAAAATGAAGTATTCAGAGAAAAGCTACCAGGCTAAAATGGCATAAAATGCTAGAGAGCTGCACGTGCCGATCAATATGTTGCCTTTTGGAGAGAGAATCTGTTCCTTCAAGTTTCTTCCAAGTAGTCAGACTCGCTTTGTTTAGCCAAAACATAGGGCTAAGTTTGTGCCTTGTGCCTTCAGAAACGTTCCTTAGTTAATGTTTATCCGTTTAACCATTTTGGAATTGAGTCACTGTTATCATGTGCAGTAGGTTAGTCATAAACCAGTGTGTCAAATCAGTCTCTCCTCCTTGGGTAGTTTCAGAGCATCAGGCGTCTCTACACTACGCACCCCTGACTGCTCCTCTGTGCTGGGTCGATACGTCCCTTCCGTTTGTCTCTTCTTCTTCACCACGCAGAACAGAAACAACAGAACCGCTGTCAAAATAGCCAGCAGTCCCAGAACCACAGTTGGTACCACAATTGCCACAATATTAGGGCCCTGGACAAAGAAAAGTAGGAATGTTAATCAACTGAAGCAGTACAACAGGATGCTAAACTGCATTAAACACTGACTTGATCGCATAAAGAAATCAAATATTATGATATGTTTTCATTCCAAGGCAATTCAGAACTGTAATAGAGTTTAAATTGAGGTAGCAAGCAAGATCCAGGGTTAAAGTTTATTTTAAGATGTCCTTGTTACAGCGTAATTATATGTTTAAATGCTGAATAATATTAATTAACACCATGTACTTACTATAGGGTTGGGACTGGTTTAGTGCTAGTTGCATGTAATTATGCATAATTTACTGTTATTACTATAGTAATAACATGTAACAAGGACACCGAAAAGTGAGAAGTGTTACCGGATGCAGTAAACATTTCAACTTGAGGATATAGTAAAATGGAATGAAATTAAACTAAATTCATTCTTTTAATTTCACCAACTGCTGTTGGTGCAGTTTTTAATAATATGTTCAGTATTTTTTTATCATTATGAATTACCCATAAACATAAATGTCAGTAAGATTTTTATCATTTCTGGGTTTTTTTAAAGAAACTAATCATTTTATTCACCAAGCATGCATACAATTGTTTAAAAGTGTTTTCACAAAAATAATAAGCAGCTACTTTTTTCAACATTGATATTAATAAGAATTTTTTTCTTTAGCAGAAAAATCAGCTTATTAGACTGATTTCTGAAGGAACATGTGACACTGTAGACTGGAGTAATGATGCTGAAAATTCAGCTTTGCATCTCAGGAATAAATTACATTTCAAAATATATTCAAATAGAAAACAGTTATTTTAAATTGTAATAATATTTCACAATGTTACTGTATTTTGATCAAATATCAAAGCATGCAGCCTTGGTGAACATATAAGAAACTTATTTCAAAACATTTTACAAAATATTACTAATCCCAAGAAGAACAACTTATCTCCCAACCTATTAGTTTACCTTAAGTTTTCAGATTCAATTTCTTATTCTCAATTTTGGGAAACTCTGATTCTTAAAGATCAAACAAAGAGTATATTGGCCAATAGTTGATCAGATACGAATAAGAGAAATAAATGTCTTTTAATTTCTAGACAGATGATGCACTTCAGGCTAATATATGGAGAGAGGAAATAAACACAAAACTACACCTCAGGAGAATCTCTACTTACTGGGCTGGGAGTTGTAGAGTTACTTGGCATTGTGGTCGTTTCCCCTGCAAATAGAAAACATTACAATGAGATAACAACCAATTGTACAGATTTGGAATTGTCACGAACTCTAGCTGTCCATCCCAGACTTCTACCACTCCATCAAAGACTTAATTTCCCATAATCCTTTGCCCGGACTCATCACCACTCACTGGTGGCACCTGTGTCTCATTTACCCTGTCTGCTCACCCTATATAAGTCTGGTTTAGTTTGTCATTCTTTGTGAAGTCTTATAAGTGTTACACTGCATCTCTGAGCGTTTCTCCTGTTTATATGTATCTTAGCCTGTGTGCTGGATTACCCTTTTGCCTGTGTTCTCTGCCTTGTTGTTTAGTCGGACTGATTGCCTGTGTGTTGACCCTTGCCTGCTGTCTGATTTCGATTCTGGACTTTCCTAATACAAACTGCATTTGGATCCTCACTCAGTCTCAGAGCAGTTCCGTAACAGAAATGATGATGCAGACTCTTAATATGACTTTGGTACTCATCCTATGGCTCACAAATCTTGCATGGTTCTTTAATGACAGTGATGCAGCTCAAAGTAGCATATTTTGGTTCTTTAATATTTTATCTGAGGTATGTCAGTTTCATTTCAAATCACATCACTATGCTGCACACCTATGTCACAGAGCTCACTATTAATATATTTCTGAGAAAAAGAAACAAAGATGAGAACTAAATGTTAATAAAAGAGGAACTTGACGTTTTCTTCATGACGAATGGTGTAAAGTGTGATACATGTGCAATGTGATGGTGTAATCTCACAGTTTAAATGATTTACAACAATATTATGAAACACCAACATTCAGTACATGTTCAGAGCTTCCTTTTTTAATGGATTTTGAATACAAAAGAAATGGCTAAAATTGAGAGTGACTAAGTTCAATCTTAATTTACATATACCTATACAAATGAGATGCCTGTTAGCTTAAAGTTCATCTACATCCTAGTGCAATCCTAAAAGTTGACAAACTACACTTTTAGCATACATTCTTTAAGATTCTTCTGGGAAAATTGGCCAAAAATATTTAATGACTCATCTTTCACATGCAAATTTTTGTCTACAGGGACAATGTCCCTCCCCATATAAGCAAAAAGCAATGAATAGTTCACAAATATAAACTAAAGGATAGCCTATTGACTATTAAAAAAAAATAATAATACAACCAGTAGCCCCTTCCTGTTTCAATAGGCAATATGTCTACACAGTAAAAAAAACCACTGTACTTATTAAGTAATTACATTGTCTTTAATCATGTAGTACTGTATGACTGGATGATATCATATTCACTGTATATGCATTTATAAATTCTTATCATCGTCACCTTGTTTAATAATAATGAAGCAAAGTATCAACTGGTGCCCTATACTTAGCCTCAATTCTGTAAGGAACAACAAATCCCTCTCACCCCAAATAATCTCATAATTTGGCAATTTTGTAAAATCTCAAGTTTTGATACACATGATCACTGCACTTTGACAAACCATAATGTGCATTTGAAGGTCACAGAACAAATAATGGTACAAACTACTGACTTGAGTGAAAATAAATGTTACACTTGCAAATTGATGATTAGAAGTAATGTTTAAATGCTATGAGAACACACATAAAAAAACATATATAGAAGAGAGAGATCGAGAGAGAAAAAGGGAAAGAGAGAGAGTGGGAGGATATGCATAAAAAAACAAAAATGTTAATCATTTACAGGAGTAAATAATCCCTCAAGGGCAAAGGTGCAAAGATAACTTTAAAGAATGAAAGAAACTTGAGTCGTGAAGCATGAAACTTGTTTGCATGGCTGTTTACAGCCCAACTCATGAATCTCACTAAACATATTCTATCTTAAAAATTAGAAGAAAAATACAAATAAATTGTATTTTCTATAAAGAAAATGACGCCTATTTTATGGCCAAGCCTCAAATTCTCATTTTCTTTAAGTCAGCATATAAGAACTACCCTCCTCAGCTCGTAGAAAAGCTGTTTGTGATGAGCTTTGGTGTGACTTTCTCATCACCACCAGTTTTTGGTGGTTATCAGTGCATTTCAATGATTCGAAACAGATATTAACACTTCAATATGTTGGTTTATTAACATTACATCAGTTAATGAAATACGGTATTTTATTGTGAATTTAAGTTAAGTCTGTAAAACCTAAAATGTTGCTACCATATTTTTTACGGTGAAGTTCTGGCAACAACAGCTGCCGGTATTTTACCGTAAATGTCACAGATTTTTTTTTTTACAGTAGTTAGTAAAGTAGTTGTTAAGTTGAGGTATGGAATAGGAGTAAGGGATCTAAAATATAGTCATGCAGAATAAAGCATGTGCTTTATAAGTACTAATAAACAGCCAATATGCTAGTAATATATATATATATATATATGTAAAGAAAATATAGTTTCTTACACCTTTCTTGTGATATTCATGGTGAAATATGGTCTGGGCAGGTTTTATGAGATTGATGGTTTATGATTACACACTTCTCAAACTTTTTGTACCATTTTACAACCTCGCAACAATACCTTAAATGTTTCTGCAAGAAACCGACATGCTTGAGCTTGTCTGCTCAAGTACTAACTTAGTACAAGTTAGAGGAGTGTGGCTCTTGTGTTCAGATTAATCTGATGCAACTCCACTGAGCTGTTTAAGTGTGAGCTTTAACAGTAATTAATAGTCCGGATACTCTCAAAGTTCAGTTTCGGACATGACTGCAGAGGTGGAGCGAGTGACTCACCCTGGGCCGAAACATTCCTGAGAAGCAGCAGCAGAAAACTCCCTTCCAATAGCCCAACCTGCCGTATCATCTCCAGGATGGAGTCAATCTGCACCCCTACCTTCAACCAAGAAGGGGCTGATGCTCCGGGTAGAGGTGATCAATAAATCATGTCCGAGATCAAAGAATAAAAACAGTCCTATCTGTCTCTAGCAAGCTGCAAAAGAAGAGTAGAAACGTCTGTTAGGATCTGAAGTTGCTTTGCAAATTTGATTGTTCGTACTGTTTGCAACAAACAAAATCAGTTACAGTAACTATAATACGTGACTAACTAGGGAACCAGATCATTTAGCTTGCTAATCTTTTTGTTTATGATCTCCTAAATTAAATTTGGGATTAATAGGATATATATATATACAAATGCACTGATTCATTCCATTAGGCCTTGATGTTTATTCCTGTGTAAACTTGTATTTTTCATTTCTCAACCCGTAACCTTTATCCAGTCTACAACATGCACATTCCTTCCTCTTATTTGTGTTGTTAAGGAAACATTCATCCATACTAGCCACATAAACAAACTCATACCTGTGTGTCCACCTTCATAATCCACGATGTTTCCCGACGAATATATGTAGACTATATATCCAATAGATCTGACCGTAGCCCGCTTCCGCCTCACCTTACCGGTGACATGAAGTATTTAAACCGAAACTAGCTCGACTCTCCGGCGTCCTGCTCATAATAATAATAATACATTGTCCTTCGAGATCCTGCCCTGCTATCAATGGTGGTCTTGTGTGGTTGGTATTTACTAGTGTGTTGAGTGAATGCTCGAGCTGTTTTTTTTTTTTCTTCTTCCTAAATTCTCATCGTTGATCACATGGTTCAGTGTCGTGTTACAACACCTGAGTCCAGCTAGTACCTGTGGCGCGAGACAGTCGCGCTATTGTGCGCAGACATCCACCTGCGCACTGAAGCGACGCGCGCTGTCGCGCAATGACTTCACCGACTCACAGCATCACTGATTTCATCTTTGTGTTCTTGCTCATTTGAATATTTCACGGATGCCAAATGGTTTGCATCTCACTGATTTGAGGTTTTAAGTCGAAGCTATTTTTAGCTGTCATTAAAGTTGAAAGGGATTTAAATAACATACACTATCGCTCTCTTTCTTATCAATACCATCGGTTTGAAATGCTCTTTTAGTGTCGCGACCTCCAGTGGTAGCGAATCAACTTTTAATCTTACAAGAAAAAAATTCTTGACATACCACAGTTCTGTTAATCCCTTTCCTCCTGTACTTTTAGGAAAATTATTAACCACTTCTTGACTGTTGTTTCTTTGACGATCCACACACAGAAAAAAGGAAATTAGCATTAAACTTGCCCATTGAGACAGTAAAAAGTACGACAACAACAATGAATATATTATAATAAATAAGACAATATAATTAAAAATGTACAAACTTGCCCATTGAGACAGTAAAAAGTATGACAACAACAATGAATATAATATAATATAATAAATAAGACAATACAATTATAAATGTACAACAAACTTTCCCATTTAAACAGTAAAAAGTATGACAACAACAATGAATATAATATAATATAACGAATAAGACAATACAATTAAATATGTACAACAAACTTGCCCATTGAGACAATAAAAAGTACGACAACAACAATGAATATAATATAATAAGTAAGACAATAAAATTAAATATGTACAACAAACTTTCCCATTTAAACAGTAAAAAGTATGACAACAACAATGAATATAATATAATATAATATAATAAATAAGACAATATAATAAAAAATGTACAAACTTGCCCACTGAGACAATAAAAAGTATGACAACAACAATGAACATAATATAATATAATAAATAAGACAATATAATAAAAAATGTACAAACTTGCCCACTGAGACAATAAAAAGTATGACAACAACAATGAATATAATATAATATAATAAATAAGACAATATAATTAAAAATGTACAACAAACTTGCCCATTGAGACAGTAAAAATTACAACAACAATGAATATAACATAACATAATATAATACTAAATAAGACAATATAATAAAAAATTTACAACAACAACAGCAATAATAATAATAGGCATCTAAAAATAAATTTTATTTGCATACATAAAATGCAGAAAGTGTTTCACAAGTATAGCCTCTGAAATATCATGATCGCAAACGACATGTAAAATGTGGTGAAAAAAAAACATAATTTTAAACGTATTTTTGCGTAGTAATATTCAATTATTATTCTTTAAAGGGTCATGAAACCCCCTGTTTCAGCACTGGTTAATTCTCACCACAGTTTTAAAAGATGCTAAAAAAAAATTTTTTAAAGTGGGCGCGGTGCGCAGAGGAGCGGACTAAGAGGGTCTAGCTGCAGCCTTGCACTTGCACTCTCAGACTTGCACTCTCAGACACTTGCGCTTCCGCTAGCGACGTCACTTGCAATCTTTTATTTTTTTTATTTTGTTCTATTTATTGATCACTTTTTGTTTGAATCTCTCAACATTTTACAACAGTAGCCAGGTGGTGAAGACAAGAAAAAAGAAACTAAATTGCGACGTCACTTGCAATCGACACAAATCGTGCGTGTTGCCAATGGAGACAAGACGCTGTGGTAGTGATTAAACGATTAAAACAAATTTAGTACTATAACATACAGGGTCCTGCAAGAAAAAGACAAGACCCGCAAATCCGTGGCTACAGAACAGCAGAATATGAACGCATGCGCAAAGTCTCTCAGCGTTTTCCTCCTGTAGAAAAACATAAACACTTAA